GCTAAAGCAGTAAATTATGTTTAGTTGTCCAAATTCGCTACGTTAGTCACCTTTTTTGTTGTAGAAGCAAGCTTTCCTGTTATCATAGCAAGAAAATAGATTCCTGCACGGAAAAAAAGATTTGGTTGAATTAACCAAGTATCCAGTCGAATATGAACGATCCAGAAAGTAACCCGAATTCTGTTAACAAGATTTTTGGCAGATTAACTAAACATGTCTGGTTATTTAATCAGACATGTTTGATTTTCTGCCAAAAATCTTGTTAACTTAAGCAGAATTCGGGATACTTCGGAATTTCAATCGGAATTTCTGGATCGTTCATATTCGACCAGATATTTGGTTAATTCAACCAAATCTTTTTTTTCCGTGTGCTGCAAAGTCAAAGTAGCTAACCCAGCGAATTATATTTAACTGTTCATATGTAGCAAATTAGTTTGCAGCAGCGGCAAATTATTTTTTTTCTGTGTAGTAGTGTAAAGATAATATATGATTTTTTCACAATTTTCCAATAAACCATTTTGGGGAAATCAAAACGTTTCAGAGAAATAACTCTTTGATATGCTGCATTATTTTCAGTGCAAACTGCACTCTGCATAATAATAATTTTAGTCCTTTCGTACATTTGTTTTGTATAGTTCATTGTTATAAATGCAATTAATTGCAAATGTAATAAGTAAATGCAACATTAGTAAATTGCGATTAATTATGGAACGGTCAGCGTCGAAATGGAGAGACGACGAGTGTCGACAATTTTTGTTAGTTTTTACCGCTACAACTAAGTGATAAGACTAAAATCCCGTCTAGAATCGCGAGAGACAGAGTTGCCAACAACGTTTGACAGTTTGATGGCAAAAAATATCGATTAGTTTGGATCGATTCGAAGTATACGTGGTGCCTGAGAGCAACGGCGGCTGCGAAAGAGTTAAGACACGGATCGCAGCGTGATTCCGGATTCGCGGGTAAGAGCCCGCGGCTAATTTCTGTCGCGCGTCGCGACTCGTTCACATCGACGTGAAAGAACAATGCTATAAAAGAACTAAAATTTGCCCATGAGGGAAATGCATGAAATCGGGCTGCTTTTGTACTTTTGAATCTGCTCGAATATGAAGCTTAAAATAGTTTAAACATAATGGACGTTACTGTGAATAAATATTCATCACAGAATTCTGTAATAAGAAAGGGAGACGTATAATTAACAGATGTTAACACGGAAAAAACAATTCCGTTGGTACAACCGAATTTTCGGTTGCTCAGGTATCGGACGAAAACTCGGCTGTAAGAACAGAAAAATTCCTTTATGAGGCTTCTGTGTAGTCAATTGTTCTCAGTTACCTCAACCGAGTTCCAATATCGTTGAATGTTCAGACGAATATTTCCGGTTGCGACAACAGAAATATTAGTTTTCATAACAGAGATATCGCTTCTGATCACCTAATTTTTAGTTGGTTCCTATTCGGTTGCACGAAGTGAGATTTTTTTGCGTGCACTTAAGTTACTTGAAAATTAAATCCGTTCCTCTCAACGCTAATGAATTCTCACAAAGTTCCCGAGGATTTGGACAATTTTGAGCTTCATATTCGAGTTCAGCAGATTCAAAAATATAAAGATGGCCCGATTTCATACATTTTCTTTACGGGCAAAGTTTGACCCTTTTACAGTATTGTTCTTTAATTCGACTCGTTGCCGTCGCGATTCTTCGCGCGGATTCAATTTAGTTTATGGACAAACATCAGCCCGCTCTCCGAATATTACATTAAATCCGAGCAAATTTAAATCCCACATATACAAATTCCCTGTTTAATTCGCCAAATCAAATTAGTCGTTTAATTCGAACTTGATTAATTTTTCGGCAATTACAGCGACAGATTGATCGCGCTGGTAAATAATGATAAATAATAATTTCGTGTTTGCGCGCGAACGCAAATTCACTCCCCCCCCCCC